TTTCTATATAGGGTAAGCTTCAAGGATCAACCTGCCATTCCTCTTAAACATTATATCTTTTTCTAGTATCCTCTTTAGTTAGTATAACACTCAATAGGCTGCCTATAAATGCACCTCTTTAGGGTTGTGCATGATGCTTATCACACTCACTGCATAGGCAATGTCAAGTCTTGTGTGCGATAGGTAAATCAACCTTTCAACTAGTCTCTATTAATCCGTTTACCTATTTCTGCGTCCTCTTCCACTAGTCCCAACTTATGATTGGGATCAATAGTTTCACTACTTAGTTTATATGCTAGTTTACTTATATCTTTCAACAAATCATTTATGTACTTCTGTGAGATGAAGATTCCCGAAGTTGAACGAGCTACTTTGATCTCCAGGACGGGATTCAGCTTTCCCAATTCCTTGGCCAAAGCAATTACTTGAGCCTCAGTTGTTTTTCCTCGTCATAGTCTATCACAATAATATCATCAACATATAATAGGAAAACAATAACTCACTGTGAACCTGAGTTCTTGATAAACAGGTTGTGATCACCCTAACTCTACTTGTATCTCATGCCAACATCACTTTAACAATGTATGTTCTTCGGTTTACACACTTTGTTTGTACTCGTGTCGTTGGCAAATCCTGATGAGATTTTCATGTAGATCTCTTCTTGTAACTCTTTATGCAAAAATACATCTTTAACATCAAATTGTTGTAACTGCCAATTGAAGTAGGCAACTTGATATAGCAAAACTTGCATTGTATTCATTTTTACAACTGGTATGAATGTCTCTTGATAGTTTATCCCGTAAGTTTGGATGTAGCCTTTGGCTACTAGAGTTGTTTTGTACACTTCAATTGTTCTATATGTCCTGTATTTTATGGTGTACACCCACTTAAATCCTACAAGTTCTTTTGCTTTGAACAAGTCCATTATGTCCCATTCCTAATTCTTTTCTAGTGTTGGCATTTCAACAATCATGGCAATTTTTTATTTCTCACAGAATAATGTCTCAAATATAGTATTAGGAATAAACTCAGTCTTAAGACTTATGAGAAAATTCTTATAGGACTATGAGCACTTGTCAAATGGCACAACCATGAAATTGGATACAATGGATGTTTTGTGCATTCTCTGGTTCTTTTACTAATTGCAATAGGCACATCAATATTAGGTTGGGTAGGGTTCTCAAGACTTACCTCAATTCCATAACTTGTTTCTAATGGTTGACCTTGCCTCAACTCAGGAGTTGAATTATCTCTCCTTGAATACACCAAAGTAAATCTAGCACCATGTAAGATTTATTGGATAGGCTGAGAGTAAGGGTCTTCTTATAGTGATGTAGGTGGTAAAGCTAGTGCAGATGATAACTGTGGTAAAGCTATTTTTCTTAAAAGTAATATAGCGTTTGGTAACTACTTGTAAAAAGTAACCTTTGTGGTGAGGGGCTATCTTTGTTGGTTTACAGATAAAATGGATTGCACGGAAGCAAAAAATATTTGGTGACTAAAGCACGTCTTTCTTAATAAATGATATAAGGCAACCTTTTTGATGTCATTGTGGGTCAAGGCGCGTGGAAAATTCTGTGACCTTCCTATTTCTGAACTTCATAAGAGATTATTATTTTCAGTCATTAATTTAGTATCTTCTTTATGAACTTTATTTTACTTATAACTTTTTGGCTTACTATTGTCTATAAGACTGTAACTTCTGAAGGATATCTCTTCCTCCTTTCTTTGCATCCTTTTCCACTTACCTTAATATATCTTCTTTGTCTATTAACACAAAAAGTACTTTCAATATGAAATATGATATTATATTTAATTAATTATGTTACAAGATTAATATAAATGTTGAAAAAAAATAATAATAATACTAAAAATTAGTTATTTGTAATTATTTATTTATTTTTTTTCGAAAAACAATTCTAGTAATTTAAATTATCATAAATATTTACCTCAATTTAATATTTTAATTTCCAAACAACCAGTTTATGTTTTTTTTTAAATAACAAAAAACCAATTTATGTTAAAATAAAGATACTGTATACGGGTTGCATCCCCTTAAAGCTTTTGTTTTTATGAATATATTTATACTTTTTATTTAAATATAATTATTTTAATTATTTTATCCAATATAAATGTTAATCAACAATAATAAATTGATCTTATATCTTAATTTTAAAATATTGAATTATTAATTGATAAAAGAAAGTTAATAAATGTACTCATTGAAAATTTTATTTAACTGTTACACCACAAGCTATTTCTTCAAGCTTTTGTTTTCATCTTTATCAAAACAAAGAACACAGCTCTTGTCTTCTCTTTAAGAAAAAAACTTCTGTTTTTAACATTTGGTCAGTCTTCTGCTTTTTAACAGCAGAAGGAGAAGGAGAAGAGCAAAACAGCAAACAGAGATTCAGAGTGAACATACAGTTTATTTCAACAAGGGGAAGAAAAGCATCAGAAAATTAGTAACTCAAGAATCCATGAAAATAAGAGATGAGAAAAGCATAAGTAACAGGGGAAAAAGAAAGAAACAAATGCCAACAGCTTCTGGCCACTGATTTTTAAACTGATGTACTCATCAAAGTGCTTGGTGAAAGAAAATATTCAATTCTACCTCTAAAGATATGCCGAAACTTCCATTCAACATCATGAAGGTCCCTAGCAATAAGTTCTTGAGCTGGTGGCTGCTGTGAGAAGTCCTGCATGACAGATATCGAAAATGGAATCAGTATCAGCATCAGCATTGAGTGATTAGTTTAGAACAACAGAGATACAGAAAAAGAGGATACCAGCGGAGGAAAGACTTTCTCAGCAGCTCTGCGAGGAACAGAGAATCCTCCATGAGTACTTGTATCACTTGCTGTCAATGTCTTGCAAAAATAATTTGTGGGTTGCTTGCTCGGAATTCCCAACTCCATTGGAATAAAAGCCTCCTTTTGCTCCTCCTATGGAGAAAAAAAGAAAAAAAAACAATCCACAAACCATTTAAAAAACCAATTACATTAATTTCATTCTTGAACTGAACACTAAACTTGTTCTTACTGGAGTCAGAGGCTGTAATGTCATCTGGGCATAAACTTCATCTGTTTCAACATCTGCCTGAAATTACACGCATGATCTATCTTCTTCAAAAAACTTATTGAGCATTAATTACAACTACAACAAAAAATCAAACTCAACCCATTAACTTCAGAAGAAAAAGGTAACTTATAGGACCACCACCCACATGCATAGTCACATTGTGGAGCTGGCATATCAACTGAGGCGGCAGACTTGGGTAATTGGGTATTTGCCCATCAACTTCTTTGTTCGTCGTGGCAGCTACCTGCAAAACTCATATAGCTTCAGACTGAAAACGAAAGTACCCAATACCTCAAGTTACTTGATGGACCCTTTTTTTCCTAATGCTCAGATGAAAAATGGAGAAACCTGCTCGCTGTGACCCTGCGGAAAGTAGACCACACGGCTTCCCACCGTTGGCAGAGACACAAGCGGGCCGGCGCACGCGTGCCATAGCTCGGAATTCAAGCACTTCTTTTCCCCTATCAAAGATGTGATGTGCATATAATTCTTCACCAAATTCAGACTAAAACTATAGCCATGAATGAGCTAAAAGGACTTGAAAGAAACTAAAGTGAAGCACCCAGAGAAAAAGACAATGGAAGCGGGAGGGGTGAAAGAAAGAGAAAGAAAGAGAAAGAAAGAGAAAGAAATACCTTCATGACCCTGTTGACCCAGCCCCGATGTGGAAAGCTTCATAGCAAGCTTTTGTGAATTTTTAGCGTCTATCAACTAAGCAGAAACCAGAAACCCTAACTCACACGACCCAAACTCCTAGCTATCCTAACGATTATCCTCAAAACCACTCTATTCTTGCTCTTATTCTTCTTCTGGCTCATCTCTAAACTCCCAATTTCACACCATCCTCGCACTGAGTAGATCGCGAAACTCCGATATACGAAAACGAGAGCAGAAACCTCGAGAGATCTTTAGCTTTCATCAGACTAGAAGAGCTGACGAAGATCCACAATGAGAATAGAGAAGGCGTTTCTTCCGCAACTTCCTCCAATTCAATACTCAAAAGGGCAATTACTCAAGAGAGACGGCACGTTCTTCGAGATCGCCATGAAAGGAGCCAGAAAGGATAGAAATGGGAAGAGGCTTTTTTCACTTTGGTGGCATATCACTACCAAAGACTATCACTATCTCAACGGAGCGACAGATACTTTGGCCTACAGTTCAGAGAGAGAGAGAGAGAGAAAGGGGGTGTCACTGGCCGCTCTTATAAGGGACCCGACCGAGCTGAACCTGAGATCAGTGGAGAGAGAAAGAGGAAGAAGACGAGAGAGAGGGGGGGGGAGGGGGGAGAGTGTGTGTGGGTGTGGAGAGAGTGAAATCTGAACCGTCGAGAGATCCGTACGGGTGAATCTTGACCGTCCGTCTACGTAATGAAATGACAGTAGGCATGTGCCACCATCCTCCAGTGGTCGCTGTCAGAGTACGGATTGCATAAAATAATGTATTGAACGTAATTTATTTATTTATTTATTTATTTATTTACTTATATTTTGACAAAAGAAAGACTCGAGTGACTGAGAGTGAAAACAGCGTGTCAATGAGAAATCATTAACATAAAAAAAAAAAAAACATATAAAAATATATATATACATGTGTATATATTTTTTACTTTTTTATTTTATTTTAATTTTAAAAAAACTCACTTCTTTTCGCTCTCTAAATAAAATATTTTATAAGAATTTATTATAATTAACCCACTTAAAGAAAATTTAGTTGTTAAATAAATTTAATTGTTCAACTTTATTAAAATACTAATAAATCTAATTTTAGATTCTTATTAAATTAAGTATAAATATTAATTTAACTAATAATTAATAATATATGAAATAATTTATTATTTTATTCTGGTTTTTCCATTTAATGAAGTGACAAGATATTTAATGAAAGAGGGGTAAAATCACGACAAATAAATTAAGAATATTACATATTGTCCTAGTATCTTAAAATTAAATTATTGTACTTCTTGAAAAGCAAAAAATTACTAATTTATTTTTGTACTAATTTAGAAATTATTTTGATGTTTAAAAAAAAATTGTGATAGAAATTATTTTTATTTTTTTAAAAAAATTATATATAATTAAATTAATTTTAAAAAATTTAGTGTAATTTTTTATTAGAAATCAAAATGATTTCCTACCAAAATATTTGTGCATAAACTTGTAAGAAAACTGATTTTTGCCAAAAAACAAAAAAACAAAAACAGTTTTTTAATTATAAAAATATTTTTAAGACACAAAAACTAAAGTCAAAATCATAAAAATCAAATCAAACTAAGTCTGAAAAATATAAAAAAAAATTCGTACCGAATCAAATAAAATAAATATAAAAATTTACTTACATCCATAAAAAATAAAATTTTTACGTCATGCAATAAATTTTATAAATCAACACGCGATTATAAAATAATAATTTTTACTACTGACGAGATAATAGTAAATAAATTAAATGCACGTGTGATTTTAGAATTATATTGTTGACTTTTGTTATTTTTTATTTTTTTTATCGTAAAATATGTTATCTGCACATATAATATAAAATCATACTTAAATCTAATTTATTAAAGTAAACATCCGTCTAACCGTAATTGATCACTTTTAAACATACTCGATAAATTGATAACATACTACGCACACCAAATCCTACATTAAGCTTGCATGTCAATAAAAAATCCAACACAAAAATATTAGATAAGCCATTAAAATAATCTTAACTAATTTAAAAATGCCTACTTTTAATAATTTAATATGATTATTTTATATAATATTATGCGAATATATTTGAACATCAAGAGTAAATAAACATTTTAAGAATTTATATATGTAATTTGTTTATATTTTTTAAACAAAAAATTAAAATAAACTAATTATATTTATAAAATTTTCAATTTATTTATAATATTGAAACAATTAATAATTATTTAATTAATTAAAACTAAATTAATATATTAACCCGTAAACATTCCAATTACCACCAAAATATTTACCTAATTTTTAATTTTAATTCACCATATAAATTTTAATTTTTTAAAAATAAATTTCAACAATAGATATAAAAATATATATATATATAAGGATCCGCCGTGGAGTAAAATGATTCAAATATCTATATCAAGAATTTGTTGATGTTACCTTGGAAAAACGTAAGTGATGATATTGAAAATCAAACCCGTAACTTAATGAAACAGTGTTAGGATTTAGATATATCTCGAACGAGTAACCAATCACATACAAAAGAATTCATCATTATTAATTAAGGATAACAACAGAACAAGTACAGATAAAATATGACTAAAACCCAAATCAGTCCTAAATCCAAAGCCCCACCCCATTTCGGAACAAGTATTCATGCATTAACTCTTTTTCATCCAAAATCAAATTAAGTCAATGCTAGGGATAACAACAGAACAAGTACGGATAAAATATGACTAAATCCAAATCTGCCCCGAACTCGGGAATAAGTTTACATTCATTCATTCGTTCGTTTCCAAAAAAAAAATAGAACTCAAATTAAGTCGGTGCTAGGGATAACAACAGAACAAGTACCGATAAACACGACTATACCCCAAATTCGTCCCACCCGTTATCATACCGAATCCAAACCTACCCCGAACTCGCACTACGTATAAATTCAACAGCGGATACCATAACAAATCGTCTTAAATTTTTCTATGGTATTGATGCAGGCATTATTTATTTCAAAATTCCAATTTTGCAGGATGTTTGTTTAATTGGCATTCAAGTACAATTCAACCCAACATGTTAAAGAGGGCTGGCGAAACCATGGAGAAACTTATTGAATGGTTCCCACCTACATTTACATGATCAACAAGGAAGATTTTAATTGGTCAAATCAAAATCCTTCATAACTTTCTAAAGACTTTATAGGTTGAACCAGTCAAATTACAGGCACTCACCATTGTTGTTGGCAGATGATAATTTTTTTTCCGAAAAGGATATGAATCTAATACAGTTTAACTTCTCTAATTTAATCCATGTAGTTTCTTTTGTATCAGATCTCCGGCGTATGATTCGATTTTGTTTTTTCATAATTTGACATAAAATTAGTTTTTAGTTTTTCAAAAAGATATACGCACATCTATGAATTTTTAAACAATAAATAGTCTAAAAAACAATGTTACGTACAAACCAGATAGTACTAAATTTGTTCGAAGAAAAACCCACGAAGTTGATTTCAAGACAAAACCGAACCACAAAGGATCGACTATTTATGTCATAAATCTAAGTTCTAATAGCTTACGATGATGCATGAAGCAGTAACCCGTATTTCAAAGGGGGTATCCAAGAATAGTCATTTTCAAACGGGATAAAATAATCCTCACACCAAGACTGGCATAGAAATCAATGGAATCAGTAAGAAACAAAATCCCACAAACCTATGCAAAGATGCCATATACCAAATCTCAAATCCAAGCCTCTTCCTGTCTGTCTTCTAACTAGCTCAAAACTTAAACTTTCAAAAATTCACCATGAAGCCTAACATTACCAGCATAGATTTATCCAGATGAGAGAAGCAATTTAATGCAGCCCTTTTCAAAAAATTTGAAGACCTATCAAAATCTTCCATCGTAGAACCACAATCATGTTGCTTTTGGTTTCCACTAGAAGCAAATATGGGACAAAAAAATTTGCTTTTAAAGCTTTTTTTCCCTAGAAGACTCCTAAGAAGGATGCTTGCCCCAAACCAGCATCTTATTCATTGATGACAGAAATAGCTTATGAATCTGTGGACAGTCCAAGAAGAATCTCCCCTCCCTAGTTCCTCACATACTATATGGGTTGCATAAAAGGAAAGGAATTAAAATATACTTTTTCCTGGTATTAGCTATCCTCTGGATAGGCATCAAGATCACTGATTCTAGACTTTAAGAACCTTATATGTTTTGTATAATAAATGAATCTTCCCTTGTTGAAGATGATTTAACCATAGTAATATTTTGATTTCTAATGCAGATGAAGGCCTATTTTACAAGGGGCGGCGCTCCCTTATTGGTGGTCTTTACTATAGGCCGATTCTATTTCTCATTTTTTATGCTTGAGGACAATTGCCTAACAAAAGAGGGATGTAATATTATGATTAATAATGCAAAAGCAGAAAAGCACTACAGGGGAACCAATAGACTAGAAGCAAAACGGTATAGAGTGATGAAAGCCACTAAATAGAGGTTTAGTATTGTGGATAGACGTTAGTATACTGGGGTCTTGTCTAGACCCCACGGTAATGGACGTGAAAGAAAATCTGCATGGGTAGGAGAAAGTTCCAGGATTTTATCAACTGAATGATTGGCACTGGGGACATGGTCATAGCATACACCTGGTTGGAGAGTGACACACTCAAAGCACAGTTTCCCCAAATCTATGCTATTGCCTGGGACAAGAATGCCTTGATAAGAGAGTTTTACCATGGTACTGTGAGGGATGGAAAGTGGTTTGTGGAGGTCACAAGGAACCTCCGTGATTGGAAGTTAAGGAGTATGAGGTTTCACTCTTTGCCCTTGCCAGGATTAGAATTGACGGCACCATATTCGAACCCCAATGGAAGCTCAACGCTAGAGCAATATTCTCTGTTAGATCTTTTTACAATCACTTGACTAAAAGAGAGGCTACAGATAAAGACTTTCCATTCAGACTAATCTGGAAGATTAATGCTTCATCTAGAGTTGCCTTCTCTTCTTAGGAGGCAAGTAGAGGCTGCATTTTAACTCTGGACAAACTGTTAGTGAGGGCATAATTCTAGTGAATGGTTGTTTTCATATAAACGGGATGCAAAGTCATCTAACCATATCCTTCTGTGGCATCCATTTGTGTATAAACTATGGACTCTTGCTTATGGCCTATTGGGTATTAATTGGATGACAGCTGACTCGGTGAGGGAGAAAATTTGGGTGTGGAAAGGAATCAACAATGTGAAGAAACATGTTAGCTTCATCCCCCTCATTATGTTTTGGGTGGCGTGGGAAGAAAGGAACAAGAGAGCTTTTGAGGGCATGAAAGTTGATTTTGGTAAGGTTAAAGATAAGTGGCTGCAGACCCTAGGTTTTTTAATTAAGGATAATCTTCTTTACTCCTTTGAGGATCTTGGGGACCTTACGGACACTTTGATAGATATATAAATATTTCGTATACGGGTTTGCACCCCCTTGGTGCTTGTGAATGAATCATACTATCATATTTTTATCTAAGAAAAATGGAAGTCATTAAACATAAATGACAAGAATTAGATAACTTCTTAGACATGTCCTCTTAGGTATCAAAGTGAATTTATAATCTTACCAACCCCCCTATAAAGATAAATTCCTCAAAAAAAAGCCTTCAACAAATCCATCCTAACCACATCCAAAACATGCCCTAACTTCATATTCATCCTTATCCAACCAGCAACAGCCTCTTTTCAAACTTGGTCAAGCTGCTTAACTAAGTCATTTTTTTAGCAAACAAGCTGGCTGTTTAACTAAGTCATCTTCAGCACTAACATTTACCTGAGGAGGGGATAATTATGTTTTCATTGACATCTGCACCATTAGCCACAAATTTTGATGTGATTTCAGGAGATTAATTCTTTCTAGAAGATCCTTTAAAACATTTCCCTTGACCGTAGTCTATGTCAAAATAAGGCAAGTGCACAGTGCCACCAAAAAGTTAAAATTTCAGTTGAGAGAACTCTCCCTCTATGCTCTCTCTTTTTTCCTGAAGCCTTTTATCCTAGTAGTTGTTGCTACCTTCAACAGTGATGCTAGCAGTTTTGCCCATCCCTCCCTTCTTTCATAGTAAGGGAGCATTGCAACCTCCTCAATTCATTGCCTCCTTTTTTTCTTGTCCTCAAGGCTTCTGTTCAATACTTATTAAAATTACCTTCAGAGAATTCCTTTCCTCATGTCTTCTAAACAAATCCAACCCATCAATTTATTCACAATTCAAATTTTTGATGTTGTTCAACACTCAATCCGACTCAAAGGCCAACAAATTACAAGGGTCACCCCGCCAACTATTTAATTCTTTGACAATTCCCCTTTCCATGTGTACATAACAATCTTGGTAGCTAATACATATGCTTGCAAGAGCCCATGGTTCCTCAATAGTAGAAGAGATAGCAGAAGCTACGAGCTTTTTTTTTTTTTGAAATAATAAACAAAAGATGGTTGTTGTATTGAGAACAGTCCACCAGGTGTTACTGGACCTAGAGAGCACCGCCTCATTATCCTTCCACTGAAGAGAGCGAGAGGTTTTCATTGCTCTGTTTCCAGCCTCATGCGGTCCCCTCCGCTCTAAGAAAGGTGAGTCCCAAGCCTACGCTCAAGAACCATGGCTCAACTCTCCTCTTGAATGAGCAGGCCAACATTTTAACCCTCCAGCCCAATTTATGGACCGAACCAATCTCTGGCCATCTTAATGACCCCACTTGAGTGACAAGCCCGCGTTACCAAGCTGAGCAGCACAAGCTATGAGCATAAGTAAACATTGTTTGATGACTCATGCCAAATAAGCTATAAGAGCCTTTTTTAGTCAATGAAGCCCCCTATAGTTGGATTCCCTTAACTCAAGGTGTACACCAACTTTTGCTAACAAATAAGAAGTGAATGAAGAAGAAGAATGCTTCCTTTCATGTTTCTCTAAAATGTCATGGGTCTCAGATTTCTTAGAAATCTTTTCCCACTTTTATTTAACCTCCAAGAAAGTATGGGCTTGAGGAGCTTGGACCTAGGCCTCGCCCTCGGATCTTTCCTAGGTGATACTCCCTCTTGTTTATATGTGACCAATCGAAGCAATTTTGGATTTTGGCATAAGAGGGAAACAGTTGTCCTGGATATGTTAGTCAAGAACAAAGTAGAGGAGCGCCTTGACAAAGTAAATGCCTCACTTTCGTCTATACTTAGGCACATTTCAACAAACCTGTAAGTGGAGGAGCAAGAATAACCACCATGTCTTCCTATTGCTCAAGATCTTTCCCTAAAAGACAGTTGGTAAGGAAGTTTTTCATGTACCAAGACACTTGACACAATAATTAGTCTATTGGTTTCATCCTATTGCAAGATTTCCTACTCCTAAACAATTGTCTGTCTCCGTTTCTGTTATACTGAAGAATAAATACACACAAAGTCTTTAAATTATCAAAAGGAAGCTCTAATTTCCAAGTTAACATCATCTATTATTTCAAACTTGACGCTGAGTTTTCTCAAATCAGGAGAGAATGACACAGAATGGGTTAACTTTAGATCACTTGAATAGATTAAAAATTATAATTCTATTAAATATAAACTATTGTACTATTTAGGAGTCTATGACTAAAGTTGTTATTTTAGGATTTATTCTTTTTGGTATTTAGTTTTCTTACTTTCATTAGTAGTAGTACTTTTTAATCTTATTAGCATTATATTTCTTAATCTTATCATATCTGGGAAGCTTAATGAATACCTCTATAATATCACCTTTGAAACAAACTTCGATTTATTCAATAAAATACTTCAAGGATTTCTAGACATTTTTTGTCCTGTAATGCAATCAAAACCCTAATTATGATGTTTAAGACTTCTTAACCATGACGTCTAATAAAATACAGGTGTAACCTAGGCTTTTATCCTCAAATCTAGGCAAATTAACCCTCAAGTCTCCTTACATGTTATTCGCAACAACTACGTCCATCAAAACAACTACCATGCAATTCAATCACATGCACCAACACCAAGCTCGAGAGAAAATCCAAAGGAGTAGTTTTGAGAAAGAAGCACGGAATGCGCCTTCTTTTTCTCTTTTTGAAATAAAAAGTATGAAGTGGTATATTATTATAGGCACTAAGGGAGAGCCAAGCAGGTACAAGCATGGAACACACCTTCATCACTCAATCTTTCCTACAAATTGGAATGATGATGATGAAGAAAATTTCAATTTTCTTTCCCTTTTGGATGGTTTTTTCAAAAAAGATCCCTTTGGGGATCTAATTTGGCAAAGTTGTGCCTCTTTAGCAACCAACTACTTGTTTTCACCTCATGAGATGTTCTTCTTGGGCTCGAGCTTGGAAACCCGTAACTATTGTTTTCCTTGGAGAAGGGATTTCTCTAGACCCCTGTTGATTTTGACTAAAATTTAAATTAACCTTTCTTCTCAAGCAATATCCTCATTGCTAGCAGTTGTTGAGCCAAGGAATAGGTCTTCTACTACTTAACCTTTCTCACTTTGAGCTCTAAGACTCTCGACAAGAAGTGCAAGAGATAACTATCACTACCTCCATAGCACAAACCTTAGACCCATGAAGCGTATGGATTCTAGTTCGTCGCTCCTACCTCTGCTTTCTTGTCAAACCATATCAATAAAACTAGATCTTATTTAGGAACCACAGCAATTATAAAACTTTGTTTGAATTTTCCTGTGGACGAATTACATTAAACCTTCAACATTATATTGTGATCCAACAGGGATTTGTCCCAATCACTTTCTTTCTCCTTCAAGCTGAACTTGTTTTTAACCTCTAGAACCTCAACATGGGCCATAAGAGATCTTAACTTTCAAAGTAGACTTTGAGACTTCAATCATTCTCCAAACTTTCTAATCTACTTAACTTGCAAAACTACAATAAATTTTATGGAATTTAGTACAACTGCTTCTCTAGAGGGAAGAAGTAATGTTGCTAATATATACAAATAATCTGACATTGGGAAAAAGAGTCAAAAGGTAAAAGAACAAATCATGCCAACTTTTCCGAATAATGGACATCATAACAAACTGCAAAAGGCTCTTTAAAATACTACTCCAATGGAGAAAGTTCAATGGAATCTTCTTGGTGAACCTCCAATTCTATGCTTCTAATCGTCTATTAGATACATCCGTTAATCGTCATCCAGCACATTTGTTATGCCATGAAGGTGGGCCCACATTTTTTTGAGATAAAAAGTAGGCCACGAAATTATCTACTAACTCAACATTTATTACAAAATTTTATCATATATCACCTCAACCAAGCTAAGTTACTCTTTAATCTGTATCTAAGCTTAATCTCACCTTGCCTAGTATGAAGGCAGCAAGTAAAGAAACTAGCTCACAAACAAATAATAAGAGACCAAATCATATCTCTCCATTTTCAACTGCTATCTATCTTAACCATAAAGAAAAGCAAGAAAAATGCCCTCAAGAAAGAAACAATTGAAGTTTTCAATGTTTAAGAACAGAATCAAAAATCAACCAGTGACCAGACCATTTACACGTTATTGATACACTGAGGTCCTCCCTGACCAAATTCCAGTGACGCTGTTTAACAGTGAAGCTAATATCCTTTTAAGCACACAAGATGGCACCACTAAACTGAAATTCTGTAATATAAAAAATCCAGCTATCAACATTTTCACCCGCACATAAAGGAGAAATCGTAAGTGGGAGAAAATCATAACAGCATCTAAAACATGTAATGCACTCCGTAAATGTATATACGTGTTTTATTTACCAACAAAACAACTATCATAATGTACTAGATAAACAAATTCAAACGACATCTTCATAGAACAGTTAAAGTCATAAGTCGAAAAGACAGACCACATAAGCACAACTTTGTTCAATGGCAACGATAACAATCCACACAAAACAAAGCAAGATTTCACCATGGACAAGGTAAAAGGAAACCCAATGGGCAGAGGATTATGTATTACTTGTACATCTATTGCCTCCTCCTCAAGCAACTTCCTTGTCCTTAATCGGAGGAGAGATAGAATCCACGGGAGCGGCGGCTGGAACCAAAACGTATCCCATCTTCTTGGGGCTGGCTATTTCATCATCACTTGCTTCTCCATCGTACTCACCGACCGGCGAACGGTAGTCGTAACGGTTGGAGAAGAGGCTCCAGACAAGGTACATGGTAGCAGCGGTGAGCGCACCGCAACCAACTCCGAATAGGAGAGCGATGACGACGCTGAGGATATCCTTAGTGCGGTCGCGGAGGGAGCTGAAATCGTAAGGCAATGGGAAGAATGACGAATGCTCGGTGCGCTGAATCAAGGTTGACTCGTCAACGGCGGGGATGACGCGGCCGCGATCGACGAAGAATTCGGAGGGATGACGGGGCCTGTAGTAAGGTCTTAATTGGCGAATTTCGGTGAAGACGGTCAAGAATCCCGAAGAAGACGAGGAAGATGAAAGATCGTTAGGGTTAGGGTTTTGGGAGGGGTAAGGCTTGAAGGAGACGGTGTAGGTAGAAATGAAGAGAGTCTTGCATGGCCTCGCAGTGGCACAGATCGAGAGTAACCCTATCACGATCACCAGGCTGAGGAGTGCCGACGACGCCATGGACTCGGAGAGAGGACAAAGAACGGACGAAGGAGGAGGAAGAAAAGGCTCTCCTGTTTCTTTCGCGGTCAGTCAAATCGATTTGGAAAACCACCGCGTCTGCCGTTTTATTGTGCTTTACTCTTTAGAAACGCTTTTAAAATTACCACCACTAAAATTTAAAAAAAAATATTTAGTCAATTATTAAATTAGTTTAAAAATTTTAATATTTATTATAATTTAATTTATTATATTTTTTTCTAAAATTTAATCTTTAATATTTTACTTATTTTTAAAATTTTATTTTTATTTATTTTGAATTTGAAAATATAAAAATATTTAAATGCTAAAATAATTTATTTTAAATTTCAAAATAATTTAAAAGCTATAAAAATTTTAGCACATATATTTTTTATAATTTCTTATTTTTTATTAAAATTTGAAATGAATTATCTTCTAAACATAATTGAAATATTTTAATTTTTTGAAATTAAAATAAATAAAAACTACATCTTTTAAATTAAATCAAATATTATAAAATAACAAATATTAATAATAAATATTATATTTTTTAGATTAATTTATTGATTTATCCAAAATATTTTTACTACTAAAAATTTCTCAAAAAATAAATATCAAAATAAAAATTTGGGGATGTGTGGAAATAGTAGGCACCGACGTTGACTTTTTTTTTGGAGTCTTTAAAAAAATAATAATGAGAATTTTTGAAAAATACATAATTTTGGGAAGGTAAAGTTATATATTTTTTATTATTATTAAATTAATATTTTATATTATTTACTACTAAAATTTGGAACTAACTATTATATAATGATATTTAATTTTTAAATCTAATTATAATACTAAAATTATGACGATATTATTTTACTTATTACAAAAACTTGGTGTCATACTATAAGTCATGGTCCCACTTATTTTATTTTTTATTATTTTTTGAAAAAAATAATTCATCCCCTATATCTTTATATTTGTCATATGTATATTAACCTCCCCATCTCTTGTGGCCATAGTCGTCGTGTTACCATCAATATAATATCGTGCCTTTAGATATTTGTCCATATTTTCCATTGATGTAACACCTTAAGATTTTCAATCCAAATAGCTGTATAAATAACATACTAAATACATATATTAAAAAAAAACAAAATTATACATAACATAAGATAAAATATCAATATCTCGTTGAAAAATAAATAAAATGATAATCATTAAAGATATACTAACAATATAATTATTTAATTATTAAAATATTGTTAATTTACTTGAAGTTCGCAAATTTAATTTTTTACCGACCGTGTAAAATTCGATATTTTGCAGGTATATTATAAATTGACCATATTCAACTAATAATAATTAATTCAGTATTGACTGATGGATTAATTTATTGGTGCATCTAAATTGACCAAATTATACATAGTCGTAATAACTTTATTACATTTATTGATGATAATAACATTATTTAATAGTTAACTTTTTTAGTTGTGGTAGTCACGATATATTAAAATATATAATATATTTTTTTATTTTTTTAAAAATAAATGCTTAGATATAAATTGAATGGTAGTCAACGTATACTTCAAGTAATAATTATCGTAAATGAATAAATTGTTTTAAAGATTTTTTTAAATAATGTTTGATGTATAAAGTTTTTTAAACAATTTATGTTTCATTGAAGTTGTGAGAAAGTGCTCGTTTTCAAAACAATAATTATAACATAAATAGAATACTGCATGACACTTTAATATTACATCGATTAAACATTTATAAAGAACAATCGTATTAATAATTATTGTTTATTTTAATTTAAATAATTTAAAACAAATTACATAAAACATAATTTATATCAAACTTACAAATATGACATAAAATCGTATCACCTATGTTAAAACAACTATGTAACGGCCCCGAAAATTTAAATGAAGATGTATGTATGTAAAACCGAAATAAAAATTCTAATTAACATCCCTTACACAATAACAAAAAACGTATCTAACGTATGAAAGAATAAGCTAACTAAAAGAAATACTCGAAATAAAAACTATAAATAGAACTATAAAATTGGGCTCAGGAACCACGTCTTCCTGATCTGAAATGGTTAAGTAAGAAATGAGTTACACTAGACCAGTAAAGACATCACACTATCTTACTGCCACAGAAGTAAAGGTTGGTAGAAAACAAAAACAATAAATTGAGCATAATTTATAACAAACTCATTTATTAATAATAAAAACCTTTACTATCCACTTACCTCGGTGAGATTCGTGAAAATAGCATATGAAAACAATAACATTATAACCATCATAAAATCATATACACTTTGTAACATAACTCATGTCATACTTTCGCATTTCAATAATCAGACAACAAATTTCCTCTTTTACCAGCCTACTAGTATCCATGGGGATCCATAGGGGGTCCCCGCTACACGTGAACCATTAACGTTAATAACTTAATTTCAGGGTCGTCCCCATACCCCGTCCGGTATGAGCACCTAAAAACCATGAACCTCAATACCCTATCCGGTATGAGGGTGAAACGGGCCGTCCCCAATACCCCGTCCGGTATGAGCGCCAAAACCATAAACCTCAATACCCCGTCCGGTATGAGGGTGAAACGGGCTGTCTCCATACCCCATCTGGTATGGGCGCTAAAACACATAAGGTCTCCATACCCCGTCCGATATGAGAGACCACGTTCCCGGTAGGGTTCCCTACGGACCCGGTCCGTCCACTAACTCCTAGGATATCTAGTCAGACTGTCCATATTATCCATTTGTCAATTGACATAACCTTTTTCCATTTTCTTTGGTCTCAATTATCGAATCAAACATAAACACGTAAACCAGTAATGGACACCAAACAAGCAACACAACATCGGGTTCACCATAATTCAAAACATAATAAAAGAAACCATGATTCATACATACGAAACCATAAAATAAATACGTCAAATACCATACTGCATTTAAAACTGTAAAAATAACTAAAACAGCAACTGACCGAAAATATATCAAACTCAGGCTCCATTAGCAACCTTAATTAATTATACATATCTTGTAACAACCCCATAAATTTAAAATGGAATGTATATTAAAAATATCAAATACGGAAGCGAAGTCAAAAATTCGATTAACATCCTTTACACTAAAACCAAAAACGTGCTCACAATATAAAAGATAAAACTACCTAAAGGAGAAACTTGAAAGTAAAAGCTACAAATATGACTATGGAGTCTTTAGGCGTCCCCTTCGTCGTCCTCCTGCGGAACTGGCTCGGGAACAATGTCTTCCTTATCTGAAATGATTAAATAAGGAATGAGCTACACTAGCCCAGTAAAGACATCACGATATCTCACCGTCACGGAGGTAAAGGTGGGTAGAAAACACAAAAAGACCAATGGAGCATGATTTACAACAAAACCTTTTATCAATAATAAAACCTTTACCATTCACTTACCTCGGTGAAATTCATAAGACAATATACGAAAACAATAACATCATCATCATCATGAAATCATATATAAACTGTATAACGTAATACTTATCAAGCCTTTCGTAATTCAATCGTTACACAATATATTTTCTTCATTTACCAGCCCACTAGTATCCATGGGGATCCATAGGGGTCCCGCTACCCGTTAACCCTTAACACTTGAAATCAGATTCCAGGGCCGTCCCCATACCCCGTCCGGTATGGGCGCCAAAACTATAATCTTCATTACCCCGTCCGGTATGAGGGTGAAACGGGCCGTCCCCATACCCCGTCCGGTATGGGCGCCAAAACACATAAGATCTTCATACCCTGTCCGGTATGGGAGACCACAATCCCGGTAGGGTTCCCTACGGACTCGGTCCATCCACCATCTCCCAGGATATCTAGTCAGGCTGACCACGTTATATAATTACCCATTTACATAATCTTTCATTCTCTTTTTCCTCAGTCAGCATCATCAATCCACATACAAACAAGCAAAACGGTAATTTATGCCAGATAGACAACATACAGCATCAATATCCCGGTCATTCAATCCATAAGCAGTAAAACAGTAAAATATGCACACGAAACTCTAAAATGAAAACATCAAACCTCATGCTGCATTTAAAACTATAAAACAGGCCAAATAACAGTTAACCGACAAACACACTAGACTCGGGCTCCATTAGCGACCTTAAGCAATTTCACACATTCGTTGATTCATGAAATACCGTTTTATCATTTATTGAACTTTAAAACCGTGACAGGAAATAGGGTGAGGGGTCATTACTCGTTTCGGGGTCCGAACACGGCTTCACAGTGCGCTTGCAGGCTGTCCCTAATTTTCCCTGAATTTTTCCCGGGGAACTGAAACGCACTATTGGTACCTGCACGTGTTCCAAAAAATCCCAAATTAGGCCCAGGGCCCCTTTCGGCCAATATCGCAACTCCGGCACGGCGGCTCCGCCGTGCTCCAGCGACGGCGCCGCCGCTTGCGTCGGCGGTTAGCCTCGGGTTGGCCGTTTTCGGCCACACTCGCATTGGTTCCTGCGATAAAACAACCCTACGGCCCTCGGGGGCCCGAAAATTTACGGAAAACCGAAGCTTACCGGTGGCGGTGCTCTCGGGTGCGGCGGCTCTCCGGTGAAGTTCGTGTTTTGGTGATTCGGCTCCGATCAACCTGTAGAGAAAAGAATGGTAATCACGGTGATATAAAAATTGCATTAAACGGAGGCTGGGAAGAGCCTCATCGGAGGCAAAAACTGAGAAGGGGCGCGGCGGCGCCGCTGGCTTTCGGCCTTGTTTTCCGGCCGTTTGGCCGGGATTTTGGCTCCGATTTGGCCACTGGGAAAATCAGCGTGGAAAAACGAGTCGGGAGTATGAAATTTACCTCGATCGGCTGTCAGAAATCCCTCCGGTGTGGCGGCGGGTTGCGGCGGCCGGCTTCTGGTTCGTCTTCTCCGGCGAGGGCAGGCGGCTAGGGTTTGGGATCTGGTGTGGGGGTCTTATTTATACCCTTTTGCCTTTTGATCTCAGCCGTCCATTTTGATTTAATCTGGGCCGTCCGATCGCGCGCACACGGATCGCCAACGTGGCCCGTCCCCGGTCGACGTGGTTTTGCCACGTGGCAGG